TCTAACATCGGTGAGAGTTCTCACCACACCATCATGCATTTTGATTCGGACTGTACCTTTTCCAATAACTTTGCAGGCAGCATTGTTGCCCATCAAGACAACTCCACCTCTAATAGATTCATATGTGGTAAATAAATCTCGACTAGGACACATATGATAAGAACAACCCGAATCTAAAATCCACCCATTGTTAAATTTGAAACTATTATTAGTTGCTAAAAAAATAGTTCCCTCAGTCTCATCAGCAGCTACATTTGCTTCGGCAGTGTTAGTATTTTTGTGCTCATTTTTGTTTTCTGTATGTTTTTCTTTGTTTTTCAATTTAAAGCATTCAGAAATAATGTGACCTTTCATATGACAATATTTGCACATGACATTTCTGTATCTGGATTTTGACCTTGATTTAAGTTTCTCAATACTTGAATCTTTCTTATTGGATCTACCTCTTATGAATAAGTCTTCCCCTTGGTTCCCACTAGTTTTCCCAGTAATAACTCTATCTATTTATTCTTTTGATATCTTTATAAGAGATATTATCATTTCCATAAAGCATAGTATCTCTTATATGCTTAAACGACTGGGGTAAGGAAACAAGCAATAACACAGCTTGATCCTCATCTTTGATTTCAGCATCTATGTTACTTAAATCCATAAGAAGAGAATCAAAAGTATCAAGATGTGTATGTATAGAGGTACCTTCAGCCATACGAAAAGTGTAGAGTTTTTGCTTTAGGTAAAGCCTGTTTTCTACTATTCTTTTCATATATAAGGTTTTAAGCTTTTTCCATATGTCTTTGGCTAAGCTTTCTGTTGCAACTTCATGCAAATCCTCATTTGAAAGATTTAAAATAATACCTGCTTTTGCCTTTTTGTCTATGACGGCAAACTCCTCGTCCGTCATTTTATCCGGCATCTTCTCCTTTCCTTGCAGTGCCAAATCTAAGCCATCCTGAATTAGGATAGCTTCCATCTTTAATTGCCACATTCTGAAGTTTGCACTTCGGTCAAATTTCTCAACATAAGACTTTGTTAGAGTCATTTTGGCTTTTTAAACTAACCCGATTAGATCTGGCTCTGATACCAATTTGTTAGGATCGGGAAACCGGGTAGTGCGGAATTTAGCTAAACAACGTTATAATGATAATAACAAAGACAATGCAAGTTGATAATAACGGCAATTAAAGAAGATAAAGAAGACACAAATTTAACGTGGTTCGGTCAAGGTGACCTATATTCACAAGCGGAGAGAAGCAATTTCACTATACCAACAAGAGTACAAAAGAGAGTACAAAATTAGAGTAAATACTCTAATTACCAAATACCCAAGAGAATAACCTCACAAGATCACTCAAAGAAAGGGTTCACACAAGTGTTTCCTAACACTCACTCTCTTACAAAATATTCTATAATGAAATAAAGGAGGAGAAAGAAAGACAAGAGTGAAAAACTCTTGAATTGGTGTGTTTTCAAATGAGGAGAAACTCCTCTATTTATAGCAAGAAATTCTTGGCCTAATAATGGATATTATGTCGTGGCAAATGTCATGATCCACAAATTTATTATAATGGATATTATGTCATGGCAAATGTCATGAACCACAAATTTGTTATAATGCATATTATGTCATGGCAAATGTCAAGAAAATTTAGCCATATTACATGCTCCTTATCATAAGCAATGGCCCTTTGACGTGGCATCAGATCTGAAGAAGAAGATGATGATGGAGCACTTGAACCTATCCAGTCAAACAACTTTTCCTCTCTTGCTTTTATCGAACAAAAGTAATGCACAAGATCATGGATTTGGTAAGTCCGGTTTCTACCTATCTCATTGAAAGAAATTACTAAGCTACTGGAAACTAAATTATCCAGATAAACCTCCATCACTTCTTCCAAACTCTTCATCTCTATCTGTTGCACAAGTCCTTCACCACACCAAAGACTTTTCAAAGTTCCGACATTAATTGTTCTGTCCTTCCCATAACCTGCAATGTAAAGTAAGCACGGCTTTAGGGGATCTGGTAAATGGTCATAACTTAATGTTATAGCCTTCATCACATGCACTTCATTCTGGAAAATGAAGGAATGCAAATTATTTCGAACTTCAAGCCACACACTCCTTTTCTTTTCCTTCCCCGCAATTACTCCGGCGATCAGATCAACCACCAAAGGAAGCCCTTTACAATTTTGGACAATTTCTTTCCCAACATCCAGTAGTTCATCAGGGAAACTTTCTTCTCCAAAGACCCTTTTCTCTAATAACTCCATACTTTCTTCTAATCTTAGCAATCGAAGATCAAGCGGATCACTGTGGTGTTGTGCATGCAAAGCCACTTTCTTTTCTCGAGTCGTCAAAATAATTCGACTTCCTTTCTCAACTTCAGGAAAAATTCTTCTCAACTCTTCCCATGTTGCAATATCACATATGTCATCTAAGACAATAAGGTACCTCTTCCCAAATAGTTGTTTCCGTAGTTGATCAGCAACATCAATATTCTCACTGGATTTCAAAACTGAGTCAGTAACTTGATTAAAAAGGTTCTCCAACAATTTCTCCTCGTCATATTCTTGATCCACTGTGCACCATGCACGGATGTCGAAATGACTAGAAACAACCTTATCATTATTCATTTTGTGTGCCAAAGTTGTTTTACCTGAACCAAGCATACCAGTGATCGAAATGACATCTAGCGTTTTTGATCCCCGGGTGAGATTCCTAATTATCAAGTCAGTCTCCTCTTTAAAACCTACGATTATTTTACCAGCTATTGATGACTTGCGCTCAACTGGCTTGTTGGGAGAGTTCACAACAATGATGCCCCTATTCTTGGGAATCTTCTCAAGTAAATTTGAGACTTCTTCTTTGATAAGATTGATCTTTTCTATGGCAAAGGAAAGTGAGAAAATAAGATGTAAGAGACTATTATCTCTTAAAATAATTGAATCAATGACATCTTTTGCCTCATATGCCACATCTAAAGCACGTGCCCAGAGATTTTTGTACAATTCTTGCTCAACATTTATCAAGAAATATCTTATGAATTCTAGATTTTCTATCACCAACTTGATTTCTTCCTTTATCAAAACAACCGAATAAGCATTGGAATTGAGCAAACCATTTAAGTGTCTAAGTTGAAGATGGATGAACAGGGGTCCATCACTCATCGGAAAGCAAAGTTGAGATGAGTCCGGGGCTTTCAGGTAAACATCTTTGAGTTCTCTCTTAAGGAGTTCAATATTTTCGAGCAAGCCTAGAGTTGCACTGTTTGTTTCATTGGTACTCTCTCCATTCCTTGATTTCTCTTCTAAGTCGCGAGCAATAGCTGATACGTCCCTGGTAAGTGCTCGAACACGTGCTAGGAATTCAAACAACTTGCCATTATGAATAGAGTCCTTAGGCGTATCAGTGAGAATGATTAATAGGAACTCTACCATGACATGAACGTTTCGAGCCCCTGAAGTGTAAGCGGTAATTACATTCACCATGTGCTCTTGTAGATGAATCAAATATCCCCTAAGAATGTCTGGATAGGTTTCTAGGAGCTGCTTAATGAAGCATCCAACTTCTGTTGACATTGAAGCTCTCAAACTTGGAATAATCTCCAGTTCAATTGGAATAATCTTCAAGAGTAGATGTGCTAGCTTGAAGAGTCGAGAGTCTCCATCAATCCGGTCATTCCAAAGGAAGTGTCCAACTCTCTCAGCCATAGGTTGAAACTGAGGTAAGACACTTTCAACAATATCATGCTCAACGCAACCATTCACTATCAACCCATGGAAATCACTTATGTTGCCACATACATTATGAAGAATCTCATATTCAGTCATTAAAGGAAAAGCCTGTTCAGAACAATACTTGGATAGATGGTGGAGATTCAAGAGGAGGAAGTGCAAATGCTCCTTAGTCATGGTGGCACTTGATTCAGAACGACGACGTGAGCTGATATAAATATTATACCTGAGGCAAGGAAGGACATGATGCATGCCATATTTAAACAGCACGTTGCGGCCAACATGATTGAAAATTGATCGAAGCAGAGCTCTAACCCTTTGTCCTTTGCCAGTTATTACATCTTCAAACTCTTCCAAATCGGAATAAGAAAGCTGGACATATGTACAAACAAATGCCAGCTCCAATTTCAGCATTTCAATTATATCCTTGTCAATAGCTATTTGATTTTCTTCTTTCTTTAACCTCTCTATCATATCCAGAACATTACCAATGTCCTTGCAAAGAGCAGAAAATGACACCTGCCAAAAGACCAAACATTGTTTGTTTCTTATTTGTCCACATATGCGTCGAAATAAGTTTCATTTTTTTTCTTCAATTTAATAGATTATTTTTACTGGTTATGCACTAAAAGGGGGATGGATCTGCTCTATTGCTATTTGTTTAACTTCACTGTTAAATTCTTTCCCATAACTTGAATTGAACTCCGTAGAGAATAGCAAGAAACCAAGTATAAGCAATAAAAGTTAATCAATATATTGAATGACATACCTCAAAGTTGAATTTTTCCCCTTTCTCTCTTTGTCCTTCAATTTCTTTTCCTCTATCCATTATCGTAATTTTCCCTTCCCTTCCTTTCAAGTTCTCAAGATCTGATGTATAAAATATACATAAAACCTAATCAGGAGAAAGAATACAATGAAACTGAAGAAAAGAAACATAAAAAAGCCATAGCAGATATAAAAATTCAGTTATATAAACTTTGTTTAGCTAATCGAGGCTAAGATCATGGTTGACTAACCTTTTTAATTGATGTTGAAGATGAAAAATCTGAGATATGGAATGGTTTCTCCTCTCTGTTGTGGTGTATGTATGAATTCTCCCCTTTTCAACAAGAAAAGAAGTTGAAAATCCGGGTGAGTCAAGGGGACGAAGGCATCACATCACTGATGCTAGGTAGAAAATGACAAAAATATTGAAATAGTCTTAGTTTCTTTAACTTTGGGAGCAGTGTTGATATATTTACTCGTGGTGTTTGACTTGTCACCGAGTTCAAAATAGAAAGTAAAACTTTTGAAACTTGTGGTCTAAATTAAATCATAAATATTTATGTGACTATAAATCAATTCATTAAGGATAAACCATAAATATTTATGTGCTCTCGACTTATGAACAAGGACCTGAATATCCCCCGTTATTTCTTCAACTTCTTGCTTAATCTTCAGAGCAGATGCTTCAAGTTGAGGGCTCCTCCATAGTTCGATACTTTTTAATGAACAAATATCCCCGAAACTAGGCGGAATCTCCTCAAGCTTATGACATTCCAACAGTAGTAATTTCTCAAGTGCAGGAAAGGACTCCTCAGTTGCAATCATACATGACATATATCATAAAGACTATTTTTCAGCTTCTGTCCAGTTATCCTCAAAGAATAGAGGTGTTTACCGGAATGCCTTTTCTTTTTTGAATCGAACAGCACAAAATTGTTATGCCCAAAGTGCTCCTCATGATAATCAATGGCCATGTGACGTGGCATCAGATCTGAAGAAGAAGATGATGATGGAGCACTGGAACTTATCAAGTCAAACAACTAGTTTGAAGAGTCGAGAGTCTCCATCAATCTGATCATCCCCATATAGCTCAGAGAGTTGAGAGTCTCCATCAGTCTGGTCATCCCCATCTAGTTAGGAGAGTTGAGAGCCATCAGCCTCATCATCCCAAAGAAAGAGTCCTACTCTCTCAGCCATTAGTTGGAACTGAAGTAAAACCTTTTCAACAATCTCATGCTCAACACAGCCATTAACTTTCAACCCATGGAAATATTTTATGTTGCCACATACATTATGAAGAATCTCATATTCAATCACTGAGGGAAAAATTTGTTCAGCACAATACTTGGATAGATGATGGAGATTTAGGAGGAGGAAGTGCAAATGCTCCTCAGTCATGGTGGCACTTGATTCAGAACGACGTCGTGAGTTGATACAATCATTCATATTATCCATGAAGCGAGGAAGGATATGATGCATGTCGTCAACATCATCCAAAATTCGTTGAAACAGATGTTCAACACCTTGTCTTATGCGAGTCATTACATCTTCAAACTGATTCAAATCGGAATAAGAAAGGGGGACATATGTACAAACAAATGCCAGCTCCAATTTCAGCATTTCAATTAGATCCAAGTCAAGAGCTTTCTGATGTTCATCATTCTTTAGCCTCTCTATGAAATCCAGAACATTGACAATGTCCTCCTTGCGAAGAGCAGAAAATAATCCTGCCAAAAAACCAAACTTTAATTGGGCATTTTAATAAATCCTTAATTATGTTCCAGGAAGTCAATTAAGAAAGAATTGTTAGTAATTGAGAAATTATACGAATAACAAGAGGATTCAAAATTAATAGAAGGAAAGAAAGTAAAACAATAAAAGTTAATAAAGGGCCAAATATACCCCTGTACTTTCGAAAATGGTCTAAGAATACCCCTCATTATACTATTGGGCTATATATACCCTTCCCGTCATACTTTGGAACAAATATACCCTTATTTTGGATGGAGTGCCACGTGTCAGCACCAGATAAAAACAACCCATTTCATTTTTTTACCTGATCTGTTTTAAAAAACCCATAACCCGACCCGTTTTAAAATTCAGTTTTTTTAAAGCATATATTTTGTAAAAACTGGAATTTGTTTTTGTAAAAACTGGAAAAAAAAGGGAATTTGCAAAATATATATTTTTAAGTCTTTCTAGTTTTTTTTAAGTATTTGTAAAAACTGGAAAAAAAAAATTAAAAATGCTTTAAAAACTGAAAAATATATATTCTGTAAAAACTGGAAAAAAAAAATTAAAAATGCTTTAAAAACTGAAAAATATATATTCTGTAAAAACTGGAAAAAAAAGGAATTTGCAAAATATATATTTTTTAGTCTTTTCAGTTTTTTTTAAGTATTATTTTTTGTAAAAACTGGAAAAAAAAAATATTTTTTTTTAAAATGCTTTAAAAACTGAAAAATATATATTCTGTAAAAACTGGAAAAAAAAAAGGAATTTGCAAAATATATATTTTTAAGTCTTTTCAGTTTTTTTAAAGTATATTTTTTGTAACAACTGAAAAAAAAAAAAAAAAAAAAACTGGAAAAAAAAAGACTCTTCTAAAGGAGTGGACTACATATGCATTAGTTTTAAAAAAATAAAAATATTTTGCAAAATCTTTTTTTTTTCAATTTTTACAAAAAAAACTTTAAAAAACTGAAAAAACTGAAAAATATATATTTTGTAAATTAATTTTTTTTCCAGTTTTTACATAATATATATTTTTCAGTTTTTAAAATATTTTTTAAAAAAATATTTTTTTTCAGTTTTTACAAAAAATAATACTTTAAAAAAACTGAAAAGACTTAAAAATATATATTTTGCAAATTCCTTTTTTTCCTAGTTTTTACAAAAAAAAATTCCAGTTTTTACAAAATATATGCTTTAAAAAAACTGAATTTTAAAACGGGTTGGGTGGTGGATTTTTTAAAACGGTTCGGGTAAAAAAATAAAATGGGTCATTTTCATCTAGTGCTGACACGTGACACTACATCCAAAATAAGGGTATATTTGTTCCAAAGTATGACGGGAAGCAGGGGCGGATGTAGCATATACTCGGCGGGTTCAATTGAACCCATAACTTTCAACGCGAAGTAAAAATTTATATGTAAAAATTCTTTAAAATTGCAAAAATAGTAGATACGAACCCATAACTTTAAAAATGTAATGGGTTCAATGCTAAAAATTTTAAAAGTTGAACCCATAAGGTTTAAATCCTGGATCCGCCTCTGGTCAGGATACAAGCATTGCCTAGTTATCAATCGTGGAAACACAAATTAGATTCAGATGTAATCAACATACATGCAAACATTGTTATAGCTAAAATCTAGGTAGATATGCATCTTATTTAGTTAATTGCATTTTTCTTCTAACTTTTCATCTGTAGAGATCATCTATGATTTAGAAACTTAGTACTTACAATAAANACGGGAAGGGTATATATACTCAATAGTATAACGAGGGGTATTTTTAGACCATTTTCGAAAGTACAGGGGTATATTTGGCCATTTGCCGTAAAATGTTTGCTTTATTGTTCCAATTATTTTGTAACTTAATTTTTTAATCAAAAGACTGATGGAACCTATTATTAACTGACTAATATAATTATTTTTATATGATTGATCTTGTCACTTAAGGTGTGCTTGGTATCACGGAAAATAATATTTTCCAAGAAAATGTTCTTCTGGAAAAAAACAAGTAGTAATCTTACTCATTTTCCGGTGTTTGGTACGCAAATTAAGGAAAATAAATTCTCAAGAGTATTCATAAATAATTTAGATACAATAATAACATCTGAACCGCTAAACTTTCGAACCCGTAAACTCTATAATTTCTAAACCCGCAAACTTTCAAACACATAAAGCTCCGAACTCATAACTTTGGAACTCATAAAATTTCGAACCTGTAAACTGAAAAATGAAAAAACCAAAACTGAAAATATAAAAAAAAAAAAAAAAATTTTTTAAAAATATAATTTATTTGCGGGGTTGGGGTGAGTGGGTGGCGCATAAAAACGAAAAAAAATAGAAAATTGAAATTGGAAGGGGTTGGGGTTAGATGTGAGGGCATGTGGAGTTTTTGAAAAATGTTTTCCTAACTTTTTGTAGGGAAGTCATTTTCCTCCAATTTCAGAAAAATATGATATCTAGGAAAATATTTTCCAAACTATTTTGTGCAACCAAACATGAAAAATGAAAAAATATTTTCCTTCGTACCAAACACACCCTTAATTGTTTAAATTCGTTTTCATTTTTTCAATTGAAAAGAGCTCTTCAATTGGAATTGCATCTCCGTCCTTTCGTTCTCTCAGTAATCAACTCCTTAACAACACCGAGGGGTGTGTGTATTTATCTTTTGGGATTTATTTTGCTTAACATTATTCTTTGGGTAAGTAAAAATAGTGTTATTGTCTATTTAATGATTCTAATGCCTTATAAAAGATCTTTAAAGACAATCATTAATATGATTCTGAAGGAGTAATATGGAATTATATTTGATTCTATTTTTGTTAATGTTCACTTATGAATTCATTGTCTTATTGATATAATTTTTTTAATAATTCACACGGGATAATATGTTTAATGCATATACACATGGATCAGAAATTACTCATTCTGTTTCAATTTATGTGAACCTATTTCCTTTTTAGTCGGTGCCAAAAAGAATGACCCATTTCTTTATTTGAAAACAATTTATCTTTAAGCAATGATTTATAGCCACACAAAATATATGTGCTTTATTTTACACAAGTTCAAAAGTCTTCTCTTTTTTTTACCGTGCCCAGACAAATGGGTTTACATAAATTGAAACGGAGAGAGTATAAATATCAAGAGTTCTGATCATGAAAAAGCAATCGCAACATTAGAATTATATACTATGAACATTGTCTATAAGAAAGTATTAGGTGAGATACAACCATAACATCGAAAGTAATCTCATTTGATGTTCCTACATAACAAAATATAATTGTTAAATTTCCTTGGTTCAGATGATATCAAACATTTTTGTGTTCGAATTTCTTGTTACTAATCACACATATATTTTAATATTATTTATATCTTTACAAAAGCTTATACTGATTAATATGGGTTACACGTGCCACGCATGTGTCTGAAACTAGTCAAATTAATAAAAGGAGAAGTTTAGGCCCTGGGTTACATTTCAACCATAGAAACTATATTCAATTCTTTAGTTATTTAAATTTAACGATTTTTTAATTAATCCATTAATTTAATTATATAATTCTTTCAACTACCTGCAAGTGTCTAATTAAAATTCACTAATAATGTAAGAAGATCTTTAGAACAATTGTATAATATTATTGTAGTCAACATTTTAGTTATAATACGTATGACTATATATTGTATGGCATACCTCAAAGTTGAATTCTTCACCTTTCTCTCTTTGTCCTTCAATTTCTTTTCCTCTATCCATCATCGTAATTTTCCCTCCCCTTCCTTTCAAGTTTTCAAGATCTGATGTATAAAATATACATAAAACCTAATCAGGAGAAAGAATACAATGAAACTGAAGAAAAGAAGCATAAAAAAAGCCATGATTGACTAACCTTTTTAGTTGATGGCTTTAGAATGAGGCAACAGAGAGTATGGAATGGTTGCTCCTTTCTATTTTTGTGTATGTATGAATTCTCCCCTTTTCAACAAGCCAATAGCTTAGAGATAAGAAAATTGAATATTCGTGTGGAGGAGAAGAGAAGGAAAGATATAAGGGGATAAGGACACCAAATTTGAAATAGTTTTTCAAATATGCTTCCGAGTAGTTTCCTTAAGTTTACTAAAAGTACGGTGGCAAGTGGGCCGGTCCGTGTCCTAAACGGGTCAAGTGGAACGGTCTCGTGAGCCGCAGTTCCGAGCCGGTCCCGGTCCTTAAATAAACGGAACCACAAACTCATAGTCCTGGGCTAAACGGTCTAAACGGTCCTACAAACTCATGGTCCTGGGCTAAACGAGCTGGGCCCGCGAGCTAAGTGGGTCCAACGGCTAAGTTGTGATTTTTTTTAAAAAACTAAATAGAAATTAGAGACAAAAAGATGTTAAAAAAAACTAAGGCAATGCCTTGTAAATATATTATAGAATTGTGACCTAATTTTTTAATTTAAATTTAAAGACAAAAATATTGTAAAAAGATACTCAAAGCAATACCTTGTAATTTTATTATAGCAATAAAAGACATGGCAATATATTTCTTAGTCTTCCTCCCCCTATGGAATGAGCACAACAAGGTGGTAATACCACCATTGAGAAGAAAAAGAAACTAATCAAGATATGCCAAAATACAAGTTACATAATACATACTAATTTTTGTTCATATAAGTTACATGTTATCTCTTACAAACTTCATAAATCCTTCAAGGTTCGGAGGAATTTCCATTGGTGGTAGCGGAAAAGTAGATTGTCATCATCGCTTCTATTGTCGGGCGAAGCAGCATCCTCAACAAGTTCAGCTAGCATTTCTTTGTAAGCTTCATCTTTGTCACGACACAAAATCTAACCGTTGTGATGGCGCCTATCGTGAAACTAGGCAAGCCACAACTCAACATCTCAACACAGAAAAATCTTTGAACATAAAGACGGAAGCAATTTAATAATTTAGGAAAGCCTTTTTGAAAACAAAAATATCCAAAATACGATAAAATCCATCCCAAAACTGGGGTGTCACAGAGTACATGAGCGTCTAAATCAAAATACAGTCCACTACAGTGTCTAGAGAAATAAACTAAAAATACAACTAGTGATAAAGAAGGAGAATCAAGGCATGCGAATGCCGTGCAGCTACCTTGGTAGTCTCCGAACTCTGAAATCGCAATCAGTAACCGTCGCCGTGACCAAAAATGCCTATATTTGCACACGAGGTGCAGGGAGTAACGTGAGTACATCCAACTCAGTAAGTAACAAGTCCAAACTTTGGACTGAAAGGTAGTGACGAACTCAACCGGTACAGATAAAATAGAAATAACTGAACAGAAACGTAGGCATGCTTTCAAATTAAATAGGCAACTCAAAACAGTAAAGTGAAGCAGATCCGAACAGTGTAAAGAATATAACTCTGCTATCTCTACATGCCAATGCACATGTTGTATGTGATGCACCATGTTGTCAGCCTTATGTGCTCACACTCTCGAATACTCAACCACTTGGTACTGTATATGGCCCATACGGCCTAGGGAAGATCCATCCCGGAACATATATGTCACTGACTATAAGTCACCCAGTATCGAGGAAGGCCAATCCAGCCCTGTGGAGAAGATCCATCTCCAGGTATCAAGTACTTCGGACAAGATCCATGTCCAGGGAAGATCTACCCCTCAATAATATCAACCGCGCTCACTGGGAGTGTGTTACAGACTCCGGAGGGGCTCCTACAGCCCAAACGCTATCATAAACTCAGTATAACTGCTGCGGCGTGCAGCCCGATCCCATAATTGTCACTCATAATCAGACTCTCAGCCTCACTCAATCATCAATCTCTCCAGTCTCACTCACGGGCTTACAATATCATGGAAACTAGCCCGAAATAATGATATGATGTATCAATAAATAACAACTGAGACTGAGATATAATATGAAAATGCATGAACATGACTGAGTACGTAATATCAATGAAATCAGTGAGATGACAGCAAGAAACGACCACTAGGGGTCCCAACAATACCGTCATAAAACCTAAACATGATATCTAGCATGATTGACAACTCAATTACTTTATTACATGATGAAAATACGGATATCAACCAGATAGAGTCACTATACAGTGCCATGGAATCAATCAGGCCACAATTCTCACGTTGCACACTCGCACGCCCGTCACTTGGCATGTGCGTTACCTCAATACTAATCGGTTAGCACATAGTTCGGGGTTTCGAACCCTTAGAACCAAGTTTGAAAGTGTTACTTATCTCAAACCGAGCAAATCCTTACGTCGAAATGCCATTACCTCTCAAATTGGTCTCTAAATGTCCTGAATCTAACCACAAGTAATACAATACAATCAATATAGGCTAAAGGGATCAATTCCACAAGAAAAGTACTAAATCATAGCCAAAAATCTGAAATCGGCTCAAACCGGCCTCCGGCCCAAATCTCGAAATCTGACAAAAGTCACAACATCCGAAAGCCCATTCACTCACGAGTCTAACCATACCAAATTTATCAAAAACTGACACCATTTGGTTATCCAAATCCCCAAAATCCACTCTCCAATTCTCAAGTGCTAAACCTCCAAATTTAACTTCAAAATCTCACTAATTCGGTGGGGAAACAAGTTTTATGATCCAAAACGAGTACAAGAATCTTACCTCATTAATCACCTCGAAAATCTTCTCCAAACTCGTCTAAGTGTGAGTCCAAAAATGTTGAAATAAGACTAAAATCGCGAACCCTTGCTTTTAAACCTTCTGCCCAGACTTTCCGCATCTGCGGACCTATTGTCGCACCTGCGATGCCGCATCTGCGGAAGTCACTTGCACCTCTAGGGCCCGCATGTGCGCTCCGGGTTCCGCACTTGCGAACGCGCATCTGCGGCCCTGGACTCGCTTCTGCGGAGTCACTCTCTCCTAGCTACCCCTGCACCTACATCCACTTGTCCGCATCTGCGCTACCGCATCTGCGATTCATGCCACGCTTCTGCGTGCTCGCACCTGCGGTGCCTACTCCGCAGGTGCGATTACACCAGCAGCAGCAACTCTTCAGCTACTTCATCAACTCAAAAATCAAGTCCGTTAACCACCCGAAATCTACCCGAGGCCCCCGGGACCTCAACCAAACATGCCAACAAGTCATATAACCCAATACGAACTTAGTCGAATCTTTGAATCACTCAAAACAATACCAAAACACCGATTACACCCGGATTCAAGCCTAAAGAACTTCTAAACTTCCGAATTCTACAGACGATGCCGAATCATACCAAATCACGCACGATTGACCTCAAATTTTGCACACAAGTCATATTCAACATTACGGATCTACTCCAACTTCCGGAATAGAAATTTGACCCCGATATCAAAAAGTCACCCCCGGTCAAACTTTCGAAAATTCGACTTTCGCCATTTCAAGCCTAAATCAGCTACTGGCCTCAAATTCACGGTCCGGACACGCTCCTAAGTCCAAAATACCCAACGGAGCTAACATAACTGACGGAATTTCATTCCGGAGTCATCTTCACACCATTCTGACTACGGTCAAAATCCTAAGACTTAAACTTCCGTTTTAGGGACTAAGTGTCCTAAAACACTCAAAAACCAAAACAAGACCTCTCGACAAGTCACATCAGCAGAAACAGATATGGAAAATGCAGTAAATAGGGGATCAAGGCTAAAACGCTAAAAACGACCGGCCGGGTCGTTATAATCTTCCTCTGGTTGTGATTCAGTAAGTCCAAAATTTTTTCTTTCCGAACGGATCCTATCTCTGAAAAGTACTGATTTTTTCAAACTCTCTCTCATAGACGCTCTATAATCACTGATTTGAAGTCTTGCTTGACTGAAAGCGCTCTCCGATGCCACTATTGAAGCTTGAATAGTTAAAATATCTCGGGCCATCCTTGAAAGAACCGGAAAGTATTTTTATTTGTCCTTCCACCATTGCAAAATATTAAAGGAGCCGTCGGGATTCACTTCTTCAGTTTGCTGTGACATAAACTTCAAGCTCATTTAGTTGTGAAAAATTATTACTACTAGAACCAAAAGAACCCCTAAACCCCGCCCAAGCACTAATTGCTCTTACTCCCGCAGTTCTTTTAGATGATTGAGAATTAGAAGAAGAATGAGTTGGAATATTTGGTCTAGCATGATTTAATGCAACTTGATAAGCATTATAAATAGTTTGAGCATTTATTCTAATTGAGGCTATTGCTTCCGGAAGTTTAGGCAACTCATCATCTTCAAGTTCTAAACCATTATAAACTATTTCATATCAAAATTGAGAACCTCATAATTTCATACAAGGATTTAACAAAGCAGGAACACCATAAATAGGAGAAATTGGGAAAAAATATTTTTTAAAAGTGAGTATTGTTGCTTTTTTTTTTTTAAAGTACTATTGATATATCTAACAAACTCTGATCCTAAAATTTAACGGGAACAATAAATAAATAAAAAAGATCTAAAAGGGAACTCATAGTTGGAGGTGCAATTTTAGTTGGCAGTTTATTGTTGGACCTCTTTCATATATTAAACCAGATATGTAATCAGGAAAAAGTTGATTGCCTAATAATTTGATAGTCTTTTTTCTTGGATTATTAATATGAATTTTATATTATTAATTTATGTTTCTGGATTCCTCCGTTAACAAATATTAATACCAAAGCAAATGTTTTAGTGGGCGTTTGGACATAAAAATTGTAAAATTCCAAAACAAAAGTGTAATTCTTTCAAGTAAAATGGTATTTGAAGATTAGAGTTGTGTTTGGACATGAATATAATTTTGGGTTATTTTTTGAAGTTTTGTGAGTGAAAATTTTGAAAAAACGGCTTTTTGAAAATTTTCAAATTTTCGAAAAAATCCAAATTCATCTTCAAGTGAAAATTGAAAATTTTATGGCCAAACACTGATTTCGAAAAAAAGTAAAAATAATTCGAAAAAAAGTGAAAACATTCTTATGTCCAAACGAGCTCTTAGTCTTTCATTATGTGCTTAGGATCTGTTTTCGTTTGTGCATATTCCCGTGCATAAAAAGATTAGTTGGTGGTAATAATTTTTA